GCCATGGGTTCTTTAAATCCAAAGCTAAAAACCTTTCTCCTGAATGAAGCCTGAGACCTTTAACCTCCATCGTTGCACTTTTTAGCTTGCCAGACAGTACGAAGGAGAGCTGGAAGCTCCCGATGGATCCACGGACTCCACAGAGACACGAGGAGAGCTGAGCTCTGATGGCAGTCAGGACTCCAGAGACACATGAGAGAGCTGGAGCTCTGATGGAGTCAGGACTCACAGAGACACGAGGAGAGCTGGAGCTCTGATGGAGTCAGGATCAGAGGACACATGCAGGAAGCTGGAGCTCTGATGGAGTCAGGACTCACAGAGACACGCAGAGAGCTGGAGCCTGAGGAGCAGGACTCACCAGGAGAACACGACGGAGAGCTGGAGCTCTGATGGGAGTCAGGACTCACAGAGACAAGAGGAGAGCTGAGCTCTGCATGAGTCGAGGACTCAGAGAACACGAGGAGAGCTGGAGCTCTGATGAGTCCAGCGACTACAAGACACGAGAGAGCTGGCAGCCTGATGGAGTCACTCACAGAGACACGCAGGAGACCTGGAGTCTGATGAGTCAGGACTCAAGAGGACACGGGAGGATGAGTCTGATGGAGTCAGGCATCAGAGAGAGACGAGAGAGCTGGACGCTCTGATGGACTTCAGGAACCAGAGACACGAGGAGAGCTGGAGCCTCCTGATGGAGTCAGGACTCAGAGAGAACGAGGAAGCTGAGGCTTCTGTGGAGCAGGACCAGAGAGAGACGAGGAGAGCCTGGAGTCTGATGGAGTCAGGCTCAGAGACACGAGAGAGCTTGGAGCTCTGATGGCAGTCAGGACTCAGAGAGAGACCGAGGAGAGCTGGAGCTCCTGATGGAGTCAGCGACTCAGAGACACGAGGAGAGCTGGAGCTCTGATGGAGTCAGGAACTCACCAGAGACACGAGGAGAGCTGGAGCTCTGATGGAGTCAGGATCAGAGACACGAGGAGAGCTGGCAGCCCTGATGGATCAGGACTCACAGACACGAGGAGAAGCTGGCAGCTCTGGATGGAGTCAGGACTCAGAGACACGAGGAGCGGAGCTCTGGGATGGGTAGGATCAGAGAGACACGAGGAGAGCTTGGAGCTCTGAAGGAGTCAAGGATCAGAGACATGAGAAGTGGAGCTCTGATGGAGTCAGGCTCGAGAGAAACAAGACAGGCTGGACCTCTGATGGACTCAGAGCAGAGAGACACGAGGAGAGCTGGAGCTCTGAATGGATCAGGACTCAGAGAGACACGAGGAGATGGAGTCTGCGGAGTAGGACTCAGAGAGAAAAAAGGCAGCTTGGAGCTCTGATGGAGCTCAGGACCTCAGAGAGACACGAGGAGAGCTGGAGCTCTGATGGAGTCAGGACAGCAGAGACACGAGGAGAGCTGGAGGTCTGATGGAGTCAGGACTCAGAGAGACACGAGGGAGAGCTGGAGCTCTGATGAGTAGGATCTGAGAGACACGGGAGAGCTGGCAGCTCTGATGGAGTCAGGACTCAGAGAGACCACGAGGCAGAGCTGGAGCTCTGATGGAGTCAGACTCAGAGACGACACGAGGAGAAGCCTGGAGCTCTGATGGAGTCAGACTCCAGAGAGACACGAGGAAGAGCTGGAGCTCTGATGGAGTCAGAATCAGAGAGACACGAGGAGAGCTGGAGTTGATGGAGTCAGGACCTCAGAGAGACACGAGAGAGTGGAGTTGGCATGGAGTAGCAGAAGACCGAGGGAGCTGGAGCTCCTGATGAGTCAGCGACTCAGAGAGACACGAGGAAGAGCTGGAGCTCTTGATGGAGTCAGGACTCAGAGAGACGAGGAGAGCTGGAGCTCTTGGCATGGAGTCAGACTCAGAGACGACACCGAGGAGAGCTGAGCTCTGATCGGATCAGGACTCAAGAGAGAGGCAGAATTGCGAGTCTGATGGAGTCAGGACCTCAGAGAGACAGAGGCAGAGTGGGGTCTGATGGAGTCAGACTCAAGAGACAGAGGAGAGTGGAGCTCTGATTGGAGCAGGACTCAGCAGAGACACGAGGAGAGCTGGAAGCTTTTGATGGAAGATCAGAGCACAAAGGCAGGAGCTCTGATGGAGTCAGGACAGAGGACACGAGAAGAGCTGGAGTTGATGGATAGGACTCAGAGAGACACGACGGAGAGTGAGCCTGATGGAGTCAGGACTCAGAGAGACACGAGAGGGTGGAGCTCTGATGGAGTCAGGATCAGAGAAGACACGAGGAGAGCTGGACTCTGATGGAGTCAGGACTCAAGAGACACGAGGGAGCAGGACTCTATGAGTCAGGGACTCAAGAGAACACGAGGAAGCTGAGCTCTGATGAGTCAGTGACTCAGAGAAGACACGAGGAGAGCTGGAGCTTTGATGGAGTCAGGACTCCAGAGAGACAACGAGGAGAGCAGGAGCTCTGATGGAGTCAGGAACTCAGAGAGACAAGGAGAGCTGAGCTCTGATGGACGTCGGACTCAGAGGACACGAGGAGAGTTGGAGCTCTGATGGAGTCAGACTCGAGAGAACACGAGGAGAGCAGCGAGCTCTGAGTGGAGTCAGGACTCCAGAGAGACACGAGGAGAGCTGGAGCTCTGATGGAGTCAGGACTCAAGAGAGACAACGAGGAGAGCTGAGAGCTCTGATGGAAGTCAGACTCAGAGAGACACGAGGAGAGCAAGGAGTCTGATGGAGTCCCAGGACTCAGAGAGACACGAGGAGAGCTGGAGCTTCTGATGGAGTCCCAGGGACTCAGAGACAACGAGGAAGCTGGAGCTCTGATGGAGTCCAGGACTCAGAGAGACACCGAGGAGAGCTGGGCTCTGATGGAGTCAGGACTCAGAGAGAGACACGAGGAAGAGCTGGAGCTTTGATGGCAAACCTGACGGTTTATTTGGAGCTTCGGCCGGCAGAATTCACCAAGACATGTCACACGGGCAAGGTCTGACCACACGGTAGAGATGAGGCTCTCCTGTAGCTCCAGGTTTGAACTAGCTAAGAGTGTAAATAATCAGACATTCTTCCATAGAGAAGACTAACGCTGAGGACACTGAATCACATTTGTTGTCTCTATGGCTCCGAGGTCATCTACACCCCGAGAAAGATGTGTTCCAGGTTCTCCACAACAACAACTATCTCGACAGGAGAGCTGCCCGGTAACAAACTGGTAGCACAACAAGCATGCTCGGAGCCCTCCTTAAGGGAGATAGCGGGGCTGCTCAAGGTTTAGGGCGTCTGCGTCAGAAGGGCGAAGGAAGACATGCAGGGGAAATTATCTGACCACTAAACGTAAATGTCAAGAATACATGTGTACCAGAGTTGTTGGGAATAATTTGCGGAGGTATTTAACGTAAGACACAGTACACCGTCTCTCTTCCCCACGGCACAGGTCTACCAATCTGACCCATTTACTACTTCCTCAACTCATAACTGTTACATTTATTGCGTCGAGGCTTATGATATCCTCCACAGACGAAATTTGGGGAAGATATGAAATTTGCTGATCATCACATTCATTGCCATTTTGGGTGTTTAGTCAACTTTGTAACACCCATGGTCCTTATAACATTATTACCTTTTTGATTAAGGGTCTGGAACCTGGGATTGATTTAAAGTCTGAGGGACAGAAGAGTAACGTCTAGCTGTTTGAAGTGTAATTTAACCTGTGAGACTCTCTTTGGTCCAGAGGCATGGACTCTGCACGGTAACCTGTCTCTTATCAAAATTATACTATATATTTGACTTCAAACCCTTCTCTGTGTCCTGTGTTTTTTATTGATTCCTCCTTGTCTTAATCTTTAAAGTTGTGAGTGTTACATCGGATCCCACTTGTTTTCATTCAGTGGTAGAAACAGACTTGTGGTGCGTTCCAATGCCCCTGTGAAACGCGCTCACCTCCCTTGTGTGATCTTTGTGCGCCTCCAGTGTAATTCCCCCATGATGGTGAGCTCTGCGTAGTTCTTGAAACGCCCCCGGCTGTTCCTCAGTGATCTCCTTCAGGACTCGGAGAGCCAGAGCCCGGTCGTGTTGCTACAGGAGAAGGACCATTTCAAATAAAAGCATCATACTTAACATCCGTCTCGAGTTACCCTGGAGACGGTAATCACTGTCGTGTCCAACATGATCATATAATCATTGATCAGTTCTCTCACCCGTCTTTGTCTCCCAGCGTCTCCAGCAGCAAGCAAGAAACATGGTTTGAAATGTTCCTCCCAGACCAACCATATCTGTCCTCTCGGGACACTTTGAGGGAGCTCCAGCAGGGTCCCCCTCCTCTCCTCTAGGTCCTCGCCTCTTCTCCTCTTGGCTCGCCCCTCTCCCTATTGCCCCGCCTCTCTCTTACTGGCCAATAGAAAGCTCCTTGCAGAAGATCCACCCACCAGCTCAAGCTGCCTCCGCTGGGGACCCTAAAAGAGAAAGAGGGTTCCCATTAATAAATCGCAAAATACCTTTTACTCATTTTGTGTTGTATTTGTTGCCATTTTGGGGCTTTTATTTTGAAAAACAAGTCTCACATTCTGAACCCGCCGTCATGATATAACGCTTTTATTTTTGAAAAAAAAACAGCTGCTACGTGAGACCAGACCAAAAAGAGGAGGAGGGTCCCATTAATAAACAAAAAAAATACTTTTACTATTGTTATTGTTGCATTTTGGGCTTTTATTTGAAAAACAAGCCTCCATTCTGAGCTTGTTTTAATATGATATAGTAAGCTTTATTTTGAAAACAAACATGAGCTGCTGTAATGGTTATAGGTAATTGCTTAGGCATTTTATTTTGAAAAAAAAGCATCATTCTGAGCTTGCTTTAATAATATTAGTAAGGCTTCTAGGCTTTTATTTTGAAAAACAAGCATCTTCTGAGCTTGCTGCATGATATAGTTAGTTGCTTGTAGGTTTTTATTTTGGAAATACAGCCTCATTCTAAACTGCCTGTAAGGGTACTAGTGGTTCTTGGGTATTTTAATTTTTGGAAAAACCGAGCAATAACCTGGGAAGCTCTTGGGGCTCATCTTGTTTTCCACACACCTCCTGTCTGCTTCCTGCACGAAATATTTGTATACACCGAGCGGTGAAAACATGCATTAAAGGATACATCACTTTTATTTGAAAACCCTAGACCCTTTAACTAATGGGTTCATTTATAAAGCACTTCCAATATTGAAATTCAATCCCGAAAGTGCTACAAGCAGTGAGCCATGAACAGTATAAAACAGCACACAAACACGGTAGAATTAATAAAAGCAATAAAAAACAACAATACAAATAAAATAAAAGGGTGGTAATAAATAAAAGGTCCTAGGGAAGCTCTATTGAACAGATTGTTTGAGGCGGTTTTTTTAAAAGCTTCCAACAGTCCTGTGGGTGGCTCTCAATGTGGGTCGGGGAGTAGCATGTCAACATGGTCCGGCGCCGAAGAAAGTTGGTAGCGGTTGCTTAGCAGCGAGTGGCTAACAGCAACGGGACAGCTGGAAGGCTCTCCCGTTAGTATACCTCACGTCCCGGGAATGATAACAGAGCTTGGGAGTCCGCCTGCCTATCACACCTAGTAGCGGAGAGAGGCAAGCATCAGCCGGAGAGAGGCAAGCAGTCAGCCGGAGAGATTTGGGCGATACAGCGTATCGTCACGACAGCCGTCAAGGTCCAAAACCGTCAATAACACAAGGTTTAGATATAAAAGCACTTGTTAAACAGCTCAAAGTTAGCCATGTAAACTATAGCTTTTAAAAGCAGAACTGAGGCGTAGGAGAAGCGCAAACAAGCAAACAATCAAGCGCCAGCGTCCTCTCCCGTCATACTGTATGTATACCATGCCTGGTTTTATTTTGAAATATACAAACTAAAGTAAGATTTTTAAATGCACTTCTTGACTTTTTTAAATTGGCAGACAGATAATTAACAGAATAAGGTTGGGCAACACCGTCGTCCTCCATCGCTCCGATGCTGTCGCAGTAGTTGAACGGGTTGTAGTCTCTGAGCGGGGGCCGCAGAAGGAGCGTGGGGGGGCCGTGTTCAGCAGGACGTCTTATTGTCCCAGCGTCTGTGCGGCCCCCCCAAAAACCATCAGATTCTGGGACCAATCCCAACCTCCTCCCTGCAGACACCAGAGAGAAATAAAACGCCATTTAATTCTGGGGGAAATTGGGTTTTCTAGTACTAATTCCAATAAAGATAGATAACATTCTTGTGTGCTCCAGCCGTCTCCTTTTGTGGGTTTGTTTGTTCCCTGTCTGTGTTGTTTGTGTGTGCGTGGTGCTGTCACTCCTGGCTCCCCGGCTTTCAACCTCCACTCACCTGTGCAATCAGCTGTGCACCCACTCTCCGACTACACACCATGCTTTCCATCCAAGCCATTTACAACGGCATATCAACGGAGGCTACACAACCTTTCTCCGCCAGATCGTCAAGTATCAGCCGTATCTCGCGTATCCCCTCCGGTACACAGCACCGTAGTGTGGAGTTGCATTAGGTAACGCGAGATACGGCTGATACTTGCACATTAGTTTCTGTTATGGATCAGTATCAACAGTTCTGCCAGTAACGTTACTATATTATCAATGCTACTTTAGTTATAGCCTGATATATGATAGATAACTTCACAATGTTGTGATGTGACGTTAGCTAACATTCTGTAGCTAACGCCGGTCAATCACCAAGATAGCTGCCCAGTTCTCCACTGGTTCTCCTCACACCACAGCTCCATTTCTCTCCGATGGCCGTTATTTTTTCTAATCCTTGGCTGCTCCTGGTCTCTTGGACGCCTAGCAGGCTCATAATTATAATCATATGCATTCAAATATATATTTTCAACCTCTTCTGTGTCAAAACTAGCATTGTGATCCATGTTTATTTATACGTTAGACCGGCCGCTCTCCCCCATGTTACGTCACACGCGGGAGGTCATGTGCGGAGGCTTTTTTATGCGGAAGTGAAAATTTCTTACAAAAACGACGCCAGATGTCACTGTAGTGTATATTTCTGTATATTTAAAAAAAATCTAGTGTATTCATCATTTTCCTACACATTTATTCACAGGTGTCTCTGACCTGCAAGTTGCTCTTTAAGGTTATTCAAACAGTATTGAAACAGTATTTTAAGGGTTATTTAAACTGCATTTTAAGGGTTATCTTAAGGGTTATGTCTGGGCTCCTCCTCCCCACCTTGCCGTCCCTCCGGGGCTCTGTCAGCTCCTCCTGGCTGCGGAAGCTGAAGTTCTGGATGGCCTCAGTGACGCCTCGCAGAGACGAGAAGATCTCCTCAGCGTTCAAGATCTCACTGTCCAGATCCAGCAGGCTGCAGGGAGAGGAGCCGCTTCATTAAAGAGACACTTAACCTTTTAGATACGACGACATGGGTGCCAACAAATCCACACGGAGCAGCAGCCGAACAGAATGATCTACACCTGATGATCGTCTGTTAACACAACGGAGTCCGTCAACAATATACACTGTTCTGTTGGAGCCTGTGAGCGAGCCCTGGGCCTCATGCAGAGAAAGAGTCACAAGTGGTCCAGAGCACTCTTTACAGTATATCTTGTTTTCATACTCCACTATAGCGTTACCTGGGAGAGAGACCCCCCGGGGAGCAGTTTGTGGGGGAGGTGAGGGGGCGAGGGGGGGTCCGGCCTGCAGGGGAACCAGAGGACACCTGCAGAGACAATACAGAGAAACACTGCTTCACACAACCTTTTTAAACACTCTGTGAGGTATTAAATATGTGTTATCATAAATATGAGACTGTGTGTGTGTGTGTGTGTGTGTGTGTGTGTGTGTGTGTGTGTGTGTGTGTGTGTGTGTGTGTGTGTGTGTCCTCACCATGCTGCTCCTCAGGTGGTTGTGTAACAGTCTGGTCGTTCCGTCCTGGAAGGTTTTGGGCAGAGCGCCGAGCAGCATGGTGAACTCAGGAGTGTTCAGCTCAAAGAGACAGATCAGCACCACCTGAGCAGCCTGTAACAAACACACACACACACACACACACACACACACACACACACACACACACACACACACACACACACACACACACACACACACACACACACTAGAGTAAATGTCTGTTGCAGTGTCATGTGAGCGCAGAATTTTAAACATCACAGCATCTTCATTTAAATATGGAAAGTTCAAATGGATCATGATTAATATTTTAGGACACACGCACACACACACACATACAGTGACACACACACACACACACACACACACACACACACACACACACTCGTCTCTCAGGCTTTGTTAGACTCGTCTCTCAGGCTTTGTCAGACTCGTCTCTCAGGCTTTGTTAGACTCGTCTCTCAGGCTTTGTCAGACTCGTCTCTCAGGCTTTGTCAGACTCGTCTCTCAGGCTTTGTCAGACTCGTCTCTCAGGCTTTGTCAGACTCGTCTCTCAGGCTTTGTCAGACTCGTCTCTCAGGCTTTGTTAGACCTGTCTTGTTAGAGGAGTTTTCTCATGCTGTGGTGGAGCTCTACCTGTTTACACCTGTCCTCCAGGTGTGTGTCCCCCACGGTGCTGGGTGGACCTGAGACCTCCCCCCCCCAGCTGTGGAGGTTCTGGGGGTGCCGTGGTAAAAAAAGGTGTGTGAAAAATAAAGAAAGAAACAAAGGATGGCGTGGAAAAGACTAGTAAAATAAAGCCAGCTGCAAAGGAGCCTCCAGACCAGCAGGTTTGAGTCATCTAAGTAAATCTATAAGGGTTCCATTATATAACAATTAGTATCATCCATAAATGGGCCTATTCGTAACAGGGCTTTTCTAAAGTCACCCCACAGCACAGAGTGGTGCAGTGACGCGTCCTAAAACCCGGAAGGAAGCTGCAGGTTCCCTCAACAGGGGTTTTTCAGACACGTCAACTCTTCAGAAATCACCAGTGGGGGCACTGTCGTAGAATAAAACATGATCCGTCTCTTCAATTCAATTCAATTCAAAACCTTTATTTATTCAGGTGAAAACCCATTGAGATCATTGACCTCTTTTTCAATGGTGACCTGCTGAAGTGAAATGTGTCCCAACCACAGACCTTATTTCCAGATATTTCCCAAAATCCTATGGAGAGATCCCATTGGCTCTGAGACGAGGTGAAATGCTAACTCACTTCCGGGTTTTAGGACTCGTCACTGCACCACTCTGTATACACTTGTTTTATTCCATTTAAAGTGGAAATACAAAACTTTTCTATCCTAGCTTTTCTTTGTGGTAAAATTGTTGCCCTGACAACCAGATCCCTTTTGGTTTTAGTTAGGTTTCGTTATTTAACGATCTCATAGTATTTTATTAACTTAATTATTTCCTGTCCTAGTCTCGATGTGTTCCAATGTGTTTTATTGGGAGTATGTTGTGGTCTTATTGTGTATGTCAAAGGTGTAGTTGTACCTTGCGTACGTCGGAGCTCTTGGGCTCCGTGGTCCAGGTGATGATCCGAGAGACGGCGAGTCTAGTTTCGCTGGAGTTAGAGAAGTCTGCGGGATCCATCAGCTGAGAGAGAGCCTGAACGTAGCGCAGGATGGCCACCTTCACCTTCAGGTTGGGGGTCTGCGTCTGATCCACGATGAACCGCATCAGGATGTTGAACTGCGTCTCGTACGGGAACGACTCCCTGCGCGCACACACACACACACACACACACACACACACACACACACACACACACACACACACACACACACAACT